ACGTGACAAAAAAAAAATTGTATTACGCTCGCTATCTACTTGTGCGGCGATGAGAAGAAAGGCGGTGGGTGGCACATATGTGTGTGCAACGTCATACCAGCAACGAAAGATCTAGGGAAAAAAATGAACAAGGAAACCCCTCTACTCGATCCTCTTCTTGCCCTCCTCGGCATTGAGATACCGCGCCGTGCTGAGGCCGCGCTCGTGTTTCGCGACAAGGGTACCGATCATGGAGTCCTTGCGCGCCTTGTTCATGTGTTCGTTGTAGCCCTCGTTGGCCCAGGGCCTAGGGTTGAGCTTGGGCCAGTTGACCTGCACATGTTAGCCCGAGGCCACGAGATTTCGAGTTCAGTGAGATGACTTACGTAGAGCATGCCGTGGCTGATGATGAAGCTAGCGGCCCAGGCGGACACGACGAGCCAGAAGAGGATGAAGAAACGGATGGCGAGGGTGGACTCGGTGCGAGTAAAGAGGCCGACAAAGACGAGGAACACGCTGAAGGCGAGGAGGTAAGGGACCGACTGGATGAGGATGGGCCGGCGGTCGGCAAAGATGAGGCCAGAACCGCCCAGGTCAGCCCCGGGGCTGTAGACGCCGAGGAACAGGTCGAACGAGTCCTGGCGGGGCCCGTCGAGGAAGTTGTTCTTGAAGTAACGGGTGACACCAATGCGGCCGTCCTGGAGCGCACCAAGCTTGGTACGCTTGCCCGTACGGGTGACGTCCGTCTTCATGGCGCCAGTGCCGGAGTAGGAGCATGAAACAACGTCTGCATTGTCGGCCCACATATTGCGGAAGAGGTCTTCGAAGGCGGGATCCTCGTCACGGAATGAAGAGCCGCGGGCCATGAGGCCAAGATCCTCAAGGATACGGTCCAGAGTATGACGAGCAAACATAGACTGGACGACGTTGGTGCGATCGAGACAGTCCATGCAGTTGGTGCGCATGACGGACGTCTGGAAAGAGCGGCCCTCAAGACCGCCGTCGTTATTGCCAGGCATGTCGACAGCACGGAAATAGCCCTGGCTCGCGAGAGCCTCGCTAAGCCTCTCGACAAGCGCGTAGGCTCGGTGCATCTTCATGCCTTTCGTCTCGTGGTGATAGTCGAAGTAGATGTAGTGCAAGCGGTCAAACTCGGACCTTTGCTTCTCGGGCTGAATGGTGGTGAACTTTTCATCGGTGATCCGGTCACCCTCGGTCTTCTCCCTCGGCGAAGAGACGAGAAGCTCAACGACCTTCTCATACGCGCCCTTGATATTACGCTCACGACCAGTCTGGTTGACCAGGTTGATGAGGTAGTTGTCACCATAGATCTTGATCTGCTCGTCAAAGTGAAGCTGTGCGGCGTGTAAGGCTGTTTCGATGCCGCGAACCTGAATCTTCGGGGTGTACTTGAGGCTGTTGATCTCGGCCCAGTAAGCCGGCACACTACCACGGGTCTGGACGTAGGACATGATCTGCATCTCCTTGCCTTCGGCGCCAAACTGGCCACTCTGCATGTCGGCACTGCCGGCAAAGCCGCCCATGCCGTTGTTCGTGTCGTTGACGATAACGACCTGTTCTGTTTCGTTGTAGTTGGCAGCATGGCCTTGCTCGTCGAGACCTCTCGTGAAGTACCGAGTGCCGCCGCGGTGTCTGGAGCGACGCGAAATAAGGACGATTGTCAGGGGAGAGTTCTTGAACTTGGTCGGGCGGATTTCCAGCACGCCGAAGATGACGGGGAGAATGAAGGGGTCTGCGCCATGTTGGGGACCAGGCTGGCCTCTCGCGCCTGTTGTTCGGAAATCGATGAGGGGCGACTGGAGGTGCTTGTTGAAGAAGAAACGGTCATCGGCGCGCAGCCACAGGGGAAGGGAAGTGTCGGCCAAGGACTGTCGTTGAAAGGAGTTGGTCAGGTCGATGGAGTACGAAAAGTACATGGGCCCGCTCTTGATAAAAGTCTCGAGAAGGCCAATAAAGACATCTTCGTCAGGATCGCGAATCTGGCGCTCGCGCATGGGCAGAATCTCGGTGGAGATGACCTTGTAGACCATGTGGCCCTTCAGGCGGCCCATGGGTTGGGCCTTTGTGATAATGATGACATACTTGTCTGGAGGGAAATGTGAGGTTAGCTGGCAGACTTGCGAAAGCGGATACGAGTGTCCTGAAAAGGAGATGGAGCTTACCGAGTCTGAGCTGCACAATGCCCAGGATGCCGGCAATGCTGGAGACACGGGAGGCTCGCTTGGTGAGACCGCCATCACCAAGGCGCAGGTCGCCTGTGGGGCGGTCGATGATCAGGGCCGGGGCATCGGGAGAAGAGGGCGAGGTGAAGATGTAGGAGTCGCTGGCGAACTTGACGTTGATGTCGCGGTAGGGGAGTGTAGGCGCCATGGCCGTGGGAGGGTAACTGAAAAGGGCCTGGGGGGCAAAGCAGACGAAAGTAGTCAGAGTCCTTGGAAAGAAATCAAGCAACCAAAATCTGGAAAGCGGCGAAGAGAAGTGTGCGAGGTGTAGCCGTGGCTGTCGCAACGCGGGGCTGATGGAAAAAGCAGTGGACAGCTCAGATCGTGGCAGTGGTGGGTGGTGTTGAGGCCCCAATTGGCAAGCTGCTGTCGTCACTTCCCAAACGTGCCCTCGTCATGTCACTGGCAGGAGCTTGGCGGGCTCGCCCCTTCTGCCTTCTGAGCTTCTGATGCGCACGAGCCAGTTGCTCTAGGGACGGGGAAGTGGGATGGGGGCGCAAGGGGCGGTCCTGTGGGACTGAGACTTTATACCTTTCAGGGCCCTCAGTTCCTTCCTCACATGCCTGGTAAGCCTGGGAGGTACCAGTGGAAGAATAAAGTGACAGCCTGGAGCGGGCAGTCACATGGATTACATAAGACACCTATTGGTCCGGCGCTGAACAGGAGGGACCTTGTGACGACGACCCTCGCCGCCACCTGCGCTCTCTGACGCTGCTGGAGTGGATGCTTTTGGTTCTAGGATTTACATGTACCACCACACATGGCGTCCGACTAATTCGGTTAGCGTTCTCGCCGCTCTTGCTGAGGCTCGACTCAGTCCAAGCTCAGCCATGCACTCGCCACGCCTCAGTCGAAGTCATTAGAAGAGAGTTTATTGCACGTTGTGCACAAAAGACAAAGACTGTAACGGTAGTTCCGTTTTGACGCGACTCAAACTACGATGCTTGATTGACAGTCGCGCTGCCTGACTGACCGCTAGATATGAACCCCTAGCCTGGGGGACCGCTTGATTGCCCCAGCTTCATATTACCGGAAAGCAGAGATACGTCCAAGCCGACATGCCTCTGCAGTCCGATCCGATAGCTGGATTCCACCTGTGCAGGTTTGCAAGCGTGACTTGGCGCGCCAGCCTTTGATACCGCCAGTCAAAGTAGAACATTCACCTATTACCTCCTCCATGAATCTCTTTGTACAGGTCCTTGGTCGTCGAATTCATTCCAAGTCTGGTATAGGAACTTCGGGTATCTGCCCTGGTTCCCTCAGCCAACGTTCAACAAGGTCGTCGCCCCGCCCGCCTCGATCTTGCATCAATTCTAGTGCCATGCTATTGACAGCTTCAGCGTGCGTTTCTCATTTCGCTCCCAGGCGTCAACTCGGAATTCATCCGGCCATACTTAGTCCTTCTTTTGAGTGCGAGCAACAAGCGCGCCCCGTACGTCCTGTTGATCCAAATCCGACTCGGTTAGAGGAGGGCAGTTAGAGGTAGGTACTACGAGCAGGGTACTGACATATTCAGTTGCAGCAATTCGCTCTTCCCCGTGTAGAAGTATATGCTCCAAGCCCCATAGATCCCGATTGTATCGTTTCAAGATGAAAGGTGCATGAAAGGCCGGCCAATTACGGTATTGGTACTGAACATCAGGCCTCTCATCTTGAAAGTCCGCGGGAATGGTCTAGGACGAATATTCGCATATGTCCCAGAATGTGCGAATGTCATCTTTGGCAGACGATGCGTTAGGTTAACCTTTCTTCCGGATGGATTCCATAGGATTGGTAGATTTATTCATAAGAAACTGACATGTTTGGTGTCAAGGATCCAGGCCAGCCCATCTGACTGATAAGGGCACAGCAGGGCTACGTCTTAGGAGGGTGTTTCGACCAGTCTGATCCGAACTGTCATCTCCAAAGGAAGAATGCGCTTGGCGAGAGTCCATGAGGGGGCTGTCATGCATGTGTAGATAGTTGGCGATAACGGCTTCTAGAAAGAATATAACTCTCTCCTTTGGCCCGGCGCTGCGGCTGGGTATGGCAGTCGCTCGTCGAGAGAAATAACGCGCTTGCTCATGTGCAGATCATCCCGCAAAGCGTTGTTTGTCAATGTCGACACGTCTGCCAGTGTCTCTAGGGGGGAACACGACGTCGCCCTCATCAAGGTAGCAGATTTTCAGAAAGAGGCAGTAGACCTGATGCCATAGAAAGA